GGGCGGGGGACTTAATTATATATTCTGATATATACGTTATGGTAGTAGAATAATGGTAAGTGAAATGTAATGTCATTTATACTTTTGTTTTTCTTTTGTAAAGTACATGGGGATGGAAGTGTTTTCAGGATCATCTGCATTTAGAAAAAAGTGTTTGAACATCTAACATAATAAAGTATTTAAATGTACCAACATTGGCATAAACATTACAAGGAACCAAGATATCGTGAGACATTAAAACTACTACAATGTTCCACCAATTTAAACATTTGAAAAAACATCGTAGTTTATCAAAAGAAATATCATAGGACAACATATTGCGCCTCCCAACACGTAAAATCAAGAAACTTTATCAATGCCAAAGTTTGTAAGTTTATCTCAAAAGCTACGCCATTCATTGTTGAAGTATAAGTCTGAGGTACAAATACGCTTAGATCTTAAAACATGAGTTTTCCCCCTAAAAAAACTTTCAATTACATAGTACAATTTCCCAACAAATAAAATTAAAAAGGAAACAACATTTTGTACTTTAATTCATTTGTGAGATTGAAGAGACATATTCTTGATCGTTACTTGTACGTACGTAAACATTTTTTGTGTCCGGTACTTGCTTTGAGGCCCAATTAGTTCGGATACCCTATCATATGAAAAAGATAGTATTTCAATAGTAATTCACTGAAATATAACCAAATCAGTCGAAAAAGAACTTCACAGAAAATAGACGCAAAATTGATGGAGGGAGTTTGGTAAGTAGGAAACTTTACAAGCTTTGCTTGACAGATTTGCTAGTTCTAATGACAATGGTACATCACCATGTGTTCGTATATACATTAATTTTGAAATTTAACAGTATTATTGCATGTTGAATTTTTCTTTATTAGCTGCGTCCTACGGTTCCAACGAGTTCTTTAAACAGAAGGACCTGGTAGTCTGAATAGCAAATGGAGAATAAATTAGATAAGGATGGAATGTGGACAATAAGGAAATAATATCTGGTCACAAAGATGCCATATTCCTCAGCTCAGCAGCAGCTTGCCGTATGCTAAGACTTGTTCAACAAGCATCTGATTCTGAAAGTATACACCATACAAAGTGGTAACTCAACACTGCAATTGAAAAGTAAATAGCACTTTTAGTTTCAGATCAATAAACATGAATCTTATCTCTCAGGTCTCTGTCCTAGAATCAATGCTATAAAGTAAGATTTTTTATTTTAACTAAATATCAGAAGAAGATCTCAACTCTTCTGCAAATTGATGAGCATGGCAAGGTAAACTACACAATTCTAGCTGCAATATCTTCCACATTACATGATTTCCACGAAATAAATAAGAAACGGCCATCTGAAAGTAACCACATGATTGTTGTTGTACCTAGTAACAGTATTATAAAACCGTATAAATATATAATAGGAATACTATCTAACTTAAGTATAAATGTTTAACATGTTTGTCCGCCTTATTTTTCACTATACTAATTCCACTTATTATGGGCAACTTTTGTTATTATGTAGTTATGTTCTAGGTGAACCTAATAATATGAAAATTCTTTTACGCTTCCACTAAATAGAAGTTAAATTGAGGCAATTACGAAAAAGAAATGGCTATTAACCAGGGGTTAAATGATCAAAGTATAATCAGGAGCAGAAAAGGCAGAAACCCCAAAATAAGGTATTGCTGGAGTTTGGAATGTTTTAAAGGTGCAAGTTGCAAGCTATTTTTCGGATGGGACGATGCTTTCTCCACAAGGCATAGCCGAACAGCTAGAGTTATACCCTTTTCCAAATTTAGACATCTTCCACATCCAGTAACATTAGTGAGTTTATCATCAAAAGGGAAAAAATTACACTGTCATAACTTACGTTCATCAACTTTTTTATGGCCTATACTTTGCTGGCATGAATCTTTTTATAGACAGTGCGAAATGGATAAGAAGGGATAGATTCTTAAAGATAGATTCCGACTCCACTTGAAAAAGATTAAATCAAAAGATGCCCAACTGGGAAGAGTTTCAGAATAAAAGCTTCCCTGCTCATGAGAGTGACTACTGATTAGACCTGGCAGAGTACATAAACCAACATCGGCAAAGAGTTCATCTTTAGAGAAAATGGGGTCAGGGTGGTCACAAGATCAGGATTTACAACAAAATCAAGAACTAAGAAACACTTCACCTCAAAGCCACCATAATGATGCCGCCGTAGTCAATGAAGAACCAAGAAAGACTATGCCACCGAGCAGCAAGAGTATTGAGACTAACAAGACAATGGAAGCCTCCAGAGTAGTTGGATTTCCACATAATTACGAAGAAATCCTAAAAGAGGCAGATTCTTCTATTGACAGATCCTCCATGGACAAACTGTATGACCAGCTATATGCTGGAGTATTCTTGAACCAAAAGCACAAGGTAAGAAAAATTTGTCTCCATTAGCTTAAGTGCTATAGTCTAAAAGAAAGGCTCTTTTTGAAAAGGTGGCCCCCCTTCTGAAAAGGAAATTCTTCACTTATCAAGACTTCTTTATTATCCTATTTGCAAAAGGATTTTTGTTTAACCTACTTCACTAACTTTATCTCCATTTCTAAACCCCCTTTCATTTAAAGATTAACAAAAACTCCAACTTTTCCTTAACAGTCATGTTCAAACCAAATAGGGCACCCAAATTCGTTCAGAGTCATACATATCTTGATAGTGTTCTTCCTTGAGAAGGTTGTGTTACAAGCGTTATATTGATGTAGACATACAGGTTCAAGTGTCCCTAAATGCTATGTGGAAATATAAAGATATTTTATTTTTTGAGAATGAGTATATAGATACTTTATATTGTGCTCTTTACGGAAAATTTGCTGAGTTTAGAAGTCTATCCTTCAAATTGACCCCAAGAGAAGCGTGTACTCTCTTGATTTAATGGACCAATTCTCATGTTCAAGTTCAACTAGTCAATTGAGCCTAAACACTTGAAATTGTTGTTTTGCCCTGTAGCAATAATATCTACTGTTATGGCTAACTTAGCAGAACATCTCCACTTCATGCAGAAATACTGGGTTGATAAGAAGTCAAAGGGAAACTGTTTCATGCTGTATGCAAGAGACCTCTTAATCACTTGGGCAGAAAACAACCGTTTCTGGCACTGGCCCTTGGTACAGGACTCGAGGTAATATGAAACCAGGCTCATTAAAGTTGAACTACAGTGCAGGTCCAAAGCTTTAACTAGTCAGAAGCATCCTTTAAAGACATAAGACTGGCATAGAAGAATAATAATCCTTAGGGCAGCCCAGTGCACAAGGCATCAATCGTTCACACTGGGTCGGGGGAAGGGTCGCACCCCAAGAGGTGTAATAATCCTTCCGTTTCATTTTATATGGTGGTTTATGACTGGGCATAGAGTTTAAGAAAGAAACAAAGACTGACTTATGGTACATACCAAAAATATCTTTACAACATGTGGTTCTATACATGCCATGATATTTCTATGGCTATAAGAGCATGTCATTAAAGATAAAATCAGAAGTTTACCGTTAAAGAGTTTCCAAAAATAGAAATAAGTCATCCTTTTTTGAATAGACTAAAAAGGAAAGAGTGACATATAAAACAGAACAATGAGAGTGATGCCCTAAAACAGACTAAAAATCAGTAAACATGTGTTACCAAACGATAATCAGCATTCATCAGTTAATACTAACTAATACTTTTTAACTCTAAGATACGTTCCCTATTAGAAGATATTCTAAACCAATACATATCACATACTTAAAGGTTTCTGTAGTTGAAAACAACCAAACTAAAAAGGCCTGAGATGCTGTTTCTATCGTTTATGCAGTGATGTGCTTCTTCCAGCAGCAGAATTACTAGATGTTTGCTGGCTAGAAATCCATGGAAGATTCAATACAGTTAGGCTATCTCCAGGATTCATGTATGAGGTTGTGTTTATTGTCATGTTAAAGGATCCTGCTTATGGATGGGAAAATCCAGTGAATCTTCGACTCATTCTCCCAGATGGTACCAGGCAAGGACATAAGGAGAATATGGTGGAAAAATCACGAGGAAAATGGATAGAAATCCCAGTAGGAGAGTTCATGACATCAGCAGATCAGAAGAATGGAGAGATAGAGTTCTCTCTATATGAATATGAAGGCGGGATTTGGAAGAGGGGGCTAGTCATCAGAGGTGCTGTCCTTCGCCCAAAAGCCTGAGGTTCTATAGCATACAATACGAATTTGGCATGCAGCTGCAGCTCGCCCAGTTGCATTTTGTTTTTAGCTTTTTCACACTGATGTTTAAAATGATGAGCACTAAGCTAGCAGCAAAAAGCATGAGATAGTGTTCTTTCTTTTGCATATTTAAATTAAGATGCATGTGCTACATTTAGCAGCTATATCCTAACCGTCAAACATTTGGCATTAAGCCTAGAACTCAATAGTATCAAGTGATAGATGTGTAAAGACCATAGTTGACCTATCTAGGAAAAATCTAGCATAGGGTAATCTGTTATACTGGTGAAGTAAATAAATCAAAAATAAAACTTCTTTTTCCCTAGCAGGGATAAAAACCTATGGGTCTGTAAGCCTCCAGCCTAAATAAAGTAAATCTCTCAATTAAAACATTAGTTTGTGGTGAGTGTTTCCCAGAATAATAACTAAATTCCTATCTGGGAATACATTTTAAGAGTAGTATTGCACTTTCTCAGTGACAGACAACATTTAATGGATATGTTTGCCGGTTCCACTATAACATGGAAATCTTTATGCCAAAAGAAGCATGGAATCATAACATTTTTTGTTACTAGATAAAGTCGTAATGTGATTAACCAATTGATACTAGGGAAGTACCCTTACATGATATAGCAAGAGAAAGATCCATATCAATCTAATACAACAAAGATCTAACTGTTATTGACCAACACTGAGCATGTTTTCCTAGTTTCCTTGTACCCTCTGTTTGGACCTAATTGACTAGTTGTGTTTCCTGCTAGAAATTCAATTCAAAAGTCAAAAACAGCCATTTAAAGCTCATTTTGACCCGCACTCCGATCTGTTTGAGGGTCAAGCCCATAGCACAGCGCAAAGTTTCTTGTAAGGAATAGGAAAATTGCTGGATGAAGAGAGTAAACTAGTCAGTACCACATCTTCAAATTCGATTTAAAGTATCTACCATCTTCACCAAAGTCTTGGGTCACAGGGAGTTTGCCAAGGACCAGCTGGACTGTACATGCAATTGGGCTGGCCATCTCCCTATACATTCCAAAGATACGACCAACGCCTTTATTGAAATGTCAAGTGTTTGACTGACTATACACCCAAGGGTGTGACCTAGTGGTCAACAAAGCGGTTTGAGAACCATGAGGTTTTAGGTTCAAATTCCAGCATAAGCAAAAACACTAGGTGATTTCTTCCCATCTGTCCAAGCCTTAGTGGACAGAGTTATCCGGTACCTGTGCTGCTGCGAGGTACCAAGTACCCTATGGATTTAGTCGAGTACCCTATGGATTTAGTCGACGTGCGAGCAAGCTAGCTCGGACACCACGATTATCCCGAAAAAAAAAGGTGCTTGACTAATTAAGCGTCACTTGTCTTTCAAGTCACTGCTGTGTGAATCAGAATTTAGCTTTCCACTTGTAATTACACACTTCATTTCTAGTTGGGGCACTTGAAACAAAATGTCTTCATGAAATTGTTTTGCACGATTCTGTGAGATAGCTAGAATGTTCACTTGAGTTATTTCTGTCTAAATGACTGCTTGTTCAAAATGAATTTAGTTTTACAATGTGTTTTAAGGCCTATTCAGAGGCAATACAAATTTACTGTGTTTTTCATTCCATCGTTCAGCCTACAATTGTTTGAAAGAGTCGGTAATTTTTCAAAATTCTAGTATTTGAAAGTGCATAGAATTCATTGGGACATCATAACTAGCACAAACACACATTTCCAATAGCCTAATTCAGTCGGATAGCAAATTACAGCAAACAACTTGTTTACTATTTTGTAAAAATGTTAACCAGTTATAACAAGAATAAATACAATAAAAAATGAAAATATCACTTATTTCATTGTCCATATCCTTTTACCTGAGATTACCTAATATAATTTGACCAGTTCCATACAATGATATGTAATATAGAAAATACAGACGCAAATACTCTGACCTAATAAAAATCTGAGTGCAGAGAATCTTTCAAGCAGGGCATTCTAAAGAACAAAATGGACGTATCAAACTTCTGAATGGTAATTTTCTGGCTTGAACCACATTGAGAAATCAATCCCTTTGCCCTTCAAATTCTCTGTTGCTGGACCAATTTTCTCAAGGAGCTGCGCATGTTAACAGAAACGACATTAAGCAGCTTGATATTTCTTTTAGAGAGTTACGTGTTCTAATTTTTATCAACAATTTACGAGATTAAGAATATTTCCATCCTTACATATTTATACAAAATATTTAAAAATTGACCTACTGGATTGGAGGTACTATGCATTATAGAGAAAGAAAAGCAGAACTGAAAATTCAAATCAACTCCAACCATATTCAGATGAAAAACAGCTTGCAAGTTAATTTCATTTCAGCATAGACACAGACGACTGACCTTTGCATGAAGCAAACCATTGGATACCAAGACAGACCTATCAAATACTGAAAACTTTCCACCATCCATACATGAAACTGTCCCTCCAGCCTCTTCAACTATCTGCATGAAAGATACACCACAGTGTCAAATAATGACTTGAATAAAACTTGTTAACAGTTCGTAAACAAGAAGAAACCACTTAGAGAAACTTGAGGAGGACAACATTTGAGCTAAACTCAGTTTCATGAATAGATACCCAGGAGGTATTTCATTACTAAAGACTTTACCAACATGTGATACTTCAAGTTAAAAAGATGACCACCATTCACTTCTGCGATTCAAACCAACTCACTGATCTTGAATAATTTGAATCCAATGGGATCATTCGGAAACTTAGAAATGAGACAAGTTTTGTTATAAATTGCTACAGAGGGTTCATTCTAACAAACAAATGCATCCCTGCTATAGGACCTTCGCTCCTTCTGCACACTTGTCTGCGCTGCATTACCTATTTATAATACAATGGTTGGTTCTACTTATTTTTCATCTTTTCTTGAGCCGAGCATCTACATGAAATAGCCTCTCTACCTCCACTTAGGTAGGGGTAAGGTTTTCGTACACACTACCCTCCCCAGATCCCACTTGTGGGATTACATTGGGTTTTTTGTTGTTGGTTAGTTGTACTTGCCCAAAAAAAAAACAATGCTAACTTCTGCTCCTTTTTCTTTTTGTTGGGATAAGCACGCAACATACTTCTCTCTTTAACCAACTAAATCTTTTTTCACAAATCCACAAAGAGAAGGAAAACATGTGACAAAGACCACATTTAACCCTTTTTCCATTAAAAATAGAAAAGAGAGAACCACAAGATATTATATGGAAAATACAACTAAATTATTGGACCTGTTAAGCATCAAACACTGCCTACTTCGCTATCTATATTTTTCTCCAAACACAGGTAGAAGGAGTGTCTGAAATATATCGATAATAATGAAATCAAGAATACCAGAACTCCTGCAGCCATGTCCCATGGCTTTAAGCGATATTCCCAATATGCTTCAGCAATCCCCAAAGCAACATGACACATGTCCACTGCGGCAGCACCAAGCCTTCTCACACCCTATACAGAACAAGGCAGGAAGATAATTTTTTTTTTTTTGGGGGGGGGGAGGGGGGGAGGGGGGGGGGATATGCAAGATTTTCAGATAAAGTTCCTACCCGGCTGACATCAGTAAAGTCCTTGAACAATTCCATATTGGTTGCCCATGGATCATCATGATCATATCCAAATCCAGTCACTAGAAGAGATTGTTCCACCTAAACACCCCCCCCC